GGATTGGGACCTAGGTGAAGTGGATTCCTCTTATGGATATCCGGTGTGAAAGGGTGTGGAGAAATCATACCAACAGTTCAGCAGGGGCATAAAATATGAGGTTGGAAATGACCAAAAGGTTAAGTTCTGGAATAACAAATAGTGTGATGCCATGCCTCTCATGGAGTCTTTACCTTTACTCTTTGAGATAGCTCAAAACAAGAAAGCAAAGGTGGCGGAAAATTTTATGGTTCATAATACTAAAGTCGTGTGGAATCCTCAATTCCATAGAAGCTCAAATGATTGGGAGGTGACTGAGACTCCTTTGTTGGACTTCCAAGGTCAAGAAAAACTGGGATAGAGAGGACAGAAGGTCATCCACTCCCTCCCTTGCTTCTCTTTCTCTTTCTAATGAATTTCATCTTTCAAAAAGAAAGCACCAAGAAACTACTTCAAAAGTCCCATGCCCATGAACAGCCTAAAACAAAAGATTACAAGACAAAATTATCATTCTAAGCAATGATTGAACTTGAAAATAAGAATGGACTGCTGAGATGCCCAGTTTACTATCATCCTTCCAACTTTCCCACAGATCTTCTCAATGTGCATGGATTTGCCTTCTCAGAAAAACCCTTTTACAATAAACTAACAAGAGCTAAAGAAACAAATTTTCCAAAGTTGTAGAATTTGGTGGGTCTTTTTCATGTGGATTACTGTGTTGGCAGAAATCTGAGAAAGGGCAACCTACTAAAGAGGGGAACAGAACATGCAATGACAAGATATGAAGTAGAAAGAAACCAGCTATTTTGGGGAAGTTTAAACCTAGGGGGGGAGAATCACATCCGTATATCTGATTTTAAAGGATAAAGGAACAGTGCTGAATTGATTAGGGGTGCTTGGTACAAATCGTTCTACATAAAAATTTTTTACCTGATGAATAAATAAAAAAACAAGAGTAGAACTACAAATCACATGCTGTGTGCTTTGTCTTAGGAGCGTGGAATCAGTAAATCGTCTGCTGCCACACTGATTTTTCTTGTTTTTTTATCAATAGACTGATTTTTCTTATTAGATTTGGATGAAAGTGTTAAACCCTTTTGCAGTAAATGGTGAAGGATTTTCTGGTTGCTGATACCTAGATGGTTTGAGAAAAGAGGACAGAGTGAAACACAAGTGGTCTCTGTGGCTGTTTTTTGGGCAATCAGGGGTGAAAGAAATGCTAGAGTGTTTGAAAGCAAGGCAAGCTCATAGGAGGAGATACTGAAAACGATAGTGGGAATTCTTTTTTTCATTTGATAATAAAAGAATTTTTTTATTAAAAGAAAAAAAAAAAGAGAGAGAATAGAAAGGAAGGTGACCAGCAGCCACCCAAGAGAAGAAACAAACTTCACCTCCAGAACCAGCCCCAACCCCGAAACAACCAAACAACAAATACCAACAATAACAACCAATTCCCACTAAAATTGAACAAAGAGACACAGAACACCTGTTATGGGCCCGGGAATAGGATCTCGTCACGGGTCGGTCCACGGGGAAAAGCTCCTGTTTTCCCTTGTTCCTCCCCTTCCTAGCTGAACCTATCTTGGCGTCGTAGAGAGTGATTTGACCAAGAAATCACCGAACTCTCCTTTTACTCTCTTTCTTGATTGGAAAGTTGATATCCTCATTCAATAATGGGGTCTCCTTAAATAGGAGATTATAAGAGTCCTAATCAAAGGGAGTCTCCTTGCTGAATAGGGAGACTTCCRKTTCTATCTTGCTAAGGATAAGATAAGCTAATCCTAATCTGATAAGCTACTAACAAGATAAGCTAATCCTAATCTGATAAGCTACTAACAAGATAAGATAAGAGCAA